TCCCCGGCCCGGCCCGGCGGCCGCCCGAGGCCCGCGGCCTCCTCGGCGGGCGGCGGGGAAGGCGCCACTTTCTGCCCTAGGCACGGCCCTGGGAGCCGCGGCCCTCCGGGGCCCGGCCGCCCCTCTGCTGGGGCGAAGGGGAAGGCGGTGGCTGCGTGGCCGGGGGCGGCCGGAGCCGGGCGGCGAGTCCCTCCTGCCCTCCCCTGCCCCGCTGCTGCCGTCGTTCCTCGAAAGCTCGGAGCTCTGCGCCGGGCCGGGTCTGCCCGGGGGGACGGGAGCGGTGGCAGGGCTGGTGCCGCTGTGCCCCGCTCCCCATGGGGGCTCGAGGGGCTCGAAGGCAGCCTGGGGGTAAGAGGGTGACTCCGGGGGGTGAGAAGGTGTCCTCGGCGGGTAAGAAGGCGACTCAGCCACTCCTCACCCTCACAAAGGGCTCTAGCAGAGCTTCTTGTGGTAGAGATTTTGGTTTCGTGCGGGGCGAAGTAAAAACAACGTTTGGCGCTTGTGCTGGGACCCGCTTCCCTCCAGCCTCGGCGCAGTAGCGGCGTGCACCCCTCGGCGGGATGGGTGTTGTTCCACAAGAACAAACGCTTCCCCGGGCTCCTCCTCCGCGTCGCCGAGCGCCGCTGTGCCGGGGATCCGTGCCTCCGGTCCCTCCTCAGGGCTCGCCTGGCTTGTTTCACTTCGTGCCGCTGGTGCTGCCAGCGCGTCCCCGGATCCGGTGTCACACCTGGGGAGCGCTGAGTGAGCTTGCAGCCCTGTCCGGGAGATGTGTTTGCTTTCCCTTGGTGTCAGAGCAAAGGAAGACTTTGCTGGGGTGGATGGTGGGGCTGGAGGAGGAGAATCGCTGGGTTCAAGCCCCTTCAAATCCAGCCCTGCTCCCGAGATGATCGGGGAGCTGACAGCAAAACTTGGAACTGTTTGCTCCAGGCCTTCCAGAAAGCACCACCACCCTTCAGTAGCTTGATTTTCCTCTCTGTCTGTCTCTTGTCTCCTTGTTGGTGCTCAGATAATCAGGATTTGTCTTTTTTGAAGGAGCCTGGGGGAAAGAAAAGGTTTAATCTTTCTTCTGCAAAGGGCTGAAGTAAGGGTTTGAGCTGCTTGGTGTTTTCCAGCAATGCATTTTACTAAAGTGGTAAATTTACCTTCTCTTTTTGACTATCCTTGAAATGTTCCACATCCAGTTGTGTTCCTCCTGTGCCTTGGGTGAGGTACCTGTGTCAGCTGAAGGAGAGATCATCCACCTCATTTCTGATCCTTTTGTGGTGGGGAGGCTAAAGGATTTGGGAAGGCATGAGAGCCAGGCCTTTTCAGAGAATGGAGAAGCCCCAGGAGCAGTTTGGGAAGGGAGGTATGGCAAAGCCTGGCTTTCCTTCAGTGCCACGCTCCAAAGCTCAGCTTCTGTATTTTGTGTGAGAAGTTCTTCAGCAGGCAGACTGACCACGGTGCTTGGTGCTAAATCACCTGCCCTGTTTCTGTTTGAGTCACCCAAGCCTTCACTTGTTGTTACTTGTTTCTCAGGGCTGATGGTGAAACAAATGGCTTTGGTTGTGGTGTGGGAGATGAAGTTAGCCGCCCTCAGGGAATCGCTTCAGGCCCAGCTGTGCCTCTGGGTGTGTTTGCTACAAGTTGGGACAATGTTTTCATCTCCAGTGTTTCATTGTGCTGATTAAGGCTGTGAGAAAGAAGGGAAAATTTCACCTTCTACCCTAATTCTGTGAGTTTAGAGAGTGGTTGTTGTGTCAAGGTGATGGAGCATGTCTCCTGTGAGGAAAGGCTGGGAAAGCTGGGGCTGGTCACCTGGAGAAGAGAAGGCTCTGGGGGGGCCTGAGAGCCCCTTCCAGGGCCTAAAGGGGCTCCAGGAGAGCTGGGGAGGGACTGGGGACATGGAGTGACAGGACACAGGGAATGGCTTCCCACTGCCAAAGGGCAGGGTTAGATGGGATCTTGGGAAGGAATTGTTCCCTGGTAGGGTGGGCAGGCCCTGGCACAGGGTGCCCAGAGAAGCTGTGGCTGCCCCTGGATCCCTGGAATTGTTCCAGGCCAGGCTGGACAGGGCTTGGATCCCCCTGGTCTATTGGAAGGTGTCCCTGCCCATGGCAGGGGGTGGAATGAGATGAACCTTAAGGTTTCTTCCAGGCCAAACCATCCTGTGATTCTGTTGTGGCATGTACAGAGCTTTGCCTTTCCTGCTGAGGCTTTCCTGGATGAGGTGTTCTGCACATCCCATGGAAGGTGTGCCCATGGGGCAGCAATCCAGCCGGCCTCCCCTCATTCCCAGTGTGTGCGAGGCTCCTGGAAAGCGAGGCTGCCTTTCTCAGGGTGAGCTGTGCAGGGCTGACACTCTGCTTTTTAATACAAAACCTTGTGAAGTTGAGCTGTTGTGTTTGATGTGCAGAGACTGCACATCCTTCTCTGCAGAAACTGCTGCTCCACTGTCCTGGATGCTCAGAGGTCGCTAATTAAAATAGACCGAGGGCTTTCTGAAGGTGAAGTTTTGGAGCACTGCCTGAGAAATGTGCTGATCTCACCCAGCTTCTGCAGCTCTGAGAGGAGCAGCTTCAAACAGGATTTCTGCTTGGTGAATTTCCAGATGTATTTCTCTTCATCTCTGGCTGTAAGAAGGAGAGAAAGGCTCCTGTGCTGTCTGTGACATTCCTTGTGGCCTGCCTGACTTGTTTGAGCCCCACTGGCTGGAATTTAGCCCATCTGGGCAGTAGACAATAGATGGACTTTGGAAAAGTGCTGGAACATGTGAAGGTGGAGGCTTGTAAAGGAGTTACTCAGTGACCTCAGGCCTTGTGGGGAGTTTACTGCTCCCATTATAATGTCCTTGATACTAACTGGGAGCAACCTTTTGAATTTTCTTCCCTGTGAAGGAGAAACCTGAACTCCTGCATTTTAGTTGCACCTTTTCAACTATTTTCTCCCCAAATCCCAACAGGAATGTCTGACCACCTCTTTGGGATGCACAGCTGGACACACAGGGCCTTGTACAGAGCCAGATGTTGGGCATCCAGCTGAAGGGCTGGAAGGCTGGGACTCTCTTTCCCCAGTGTGCTGTGTCATGGCACATGTGCTGCATTCCCTGAACATGTGGCTGGTCCAGCTGGAGATCCTCCTCTGTCTGCTGGCCCCTTCCTCTCTGAGCTTTGGTGGAAGGGGAAAGACTCCAGCAGCCCCTTTCCAGCTGCTGATCCTTGCTGTGAAGTCTCCAGTTGCAAATCCTGTCCTTGCTAAGGACCTGGTGCCCTGCAAACTGTGCAGCTGCAGAGGTTGTGATATTTGAGCAGGTCAGGGAATGTTGCTGGGAAGGAGAAGGAGGGATTGTGGAAAGCATCCTTGTTTCACTCATTTTCTTTAAGCTGTTTGAGACTCCTGACAGAGAGTTGGACACATGGCAGGCTTAGGAGCTGACAAAGTAAACCACAGAATATTCCTTGCAGCTTTAAAACCTGAGATCTCCAGTATTTATGTTAAGACCATGTCAGTTACCTTCTCAAATCTGGACATGTGCAAGTTTGGGTAGTAAATGGGAAAGAAATCCTTCATTTCCCTGCTGAAGTTTGTGAGAGGAGAAGACTGGAGAAGACTGAAGCAGAATTTGTTGGCACATTTCTGTGCAAGCAGAATTGTTTTGCTTAGCTTGCTGAGGAGTCACATCATGGGGTGGCAATGGGAACGTGTGGCCTGTGCAATCCTAAAGGTGCCTGGAACACTCTTAAACACTAATTCACACAAAGAATGTGCTTTAAGTCTTGTGGACTGGAATTAAGGCAGAGTCCGATTCAAAATTTGATTTAGGAGCCTGTTGTCATTTCTGTTGCTGGGGTTCCTGCTTGGTCTTAGTGATGGTGTCTGCCTCAAGTGTTTTCTTGGATATTTGGAATTGGAATTCCAGGTCAGGGAGCCTGCATTAGAAGGCTGAGCTGCTTCAGGAGGCCCAAGTGTCTTCTGTAGCAGCAGGTTACTCTGGAGAAGCCAGAAGTGTGTGCCCCATGGAGAGGGGTGGCTGTGCAGAGAACTGGCCTGACAGGAGCTTGTGGCCGTGTACTCCTTTGTCCTGCTTTAAACTCCCATCACCTCACCACAGATTGTATTGCATTTGCTGTGAGAGATGTTTTCAGTCACTACTTTAACAGTTACAGAACAGTCTGCCTTAGCTCTGCTTTAAATTTTAGAGGTGGTTTGTTACAGAACTGGCACCTGTAGAATCATGTGTGTCTTTTCCAGAATTCCCAGGCTACTTCAAAGCCCGTGTTTCCAAACACAGATGTAGTAGAGCACAGCTCATCCAGCTCCTCTGGTTTTTCCTCCCTGTTGTTTGTACTCTCTGCACAGCAGCTGAAGCTGTCCTGATCCAAGAACAGCCTGGGCTGCTGGGTTCTTCTGTCATGGTCCTGGAAGGGGATGGATTTTTAGGCACTGATGGATGCCATGCTGTGAGGGAGCCAGTAAAAGAGACAGAAGTTCTGCCTGTCACCTTTGCATGAGCACATCTGCACAGCTGTGTTCCTCACTCTATGGAGTAACACCTGTAAAGGCTTCTGCTGGGTTTGGTGCCTCTTGAGGAGGGACTGAGCAAGGTTTAGTTTCCACCTTAAGGTGATCTGTGTTTTGCATGTTCTTCCCTCAAAATTTGTGTTCCCTGCAAGGGGATTTTAACCACTTTGCTCAATGGAAAAGAGGCCCTCAACATCAGTGCTGTAGCTGATGGCGTGCACAATGCTGCCTGTTCTGGGAAGTGGTGTAGCTGCCAGGTGAAGTCTTAGATGTTTTCTGCCCCAGGCAGAACCTGGAGCTGGTTTAACCTGGAAATCTTGCTGCTTTTCTGCCTGTGGAGCAGCCAGGAGCAAGCCAGGGCTGGGTCACCTCTGTGCCTCCCACAGCTGGTGGGTGCAGGGCACTGGGACCATTTCCTGCCAGCCCAGGGGCTTTGGGGGTGGGTGGGACTCACTGGGCCACAGCAGCTCTGATTCTGTAGCTTTGTCTGGTTTTGAAAACAAAAGGAAAAGCTACCAAAGGTCTGTGATTTCTCCTTTCTCTCTCTAGCTACGCTTACCTACGACACCCTGAGGTTTGAGTATGAAGACTTCCCTGAGACCAAAGAACCTGTTTGGATCCTTGGCCGGAAATACAGTGTTTTTACAGGTATTTTCTGTGCACAGTGCAATGCTTTAAGGCTCCACAGGACTTTGTTAGTGTTGCACTCGGGTTTTACCTGCCATGCTTCTGTCTGGCTGGCCATTTCCGTGGATTCTGGAATATTTTTGTGCAGAAAGTTACCATGTGGGAGTTGTTGGGACATGTCATGAGGGCAGGACGGTGGAGGCAGGGGGCAGAAGGATGGTTTGCTGCTTCATAATTTGCCTCTGGCCATAGCATCTTTGGGTTGATGGCAGTTGTTTTGGGGGGAAAGGAAGTACTTTGTGCGCAGCAGTACTGCCCTGTTCCTCAGCCAGACTTTGCCTCTTTGGGCCTGCAGACTGTGAGGAGAATTCCGTGAGAGGGTGAGTGGGAGGTGGGTTTAGCAGTCTTGGTACCCCCCTCATGTGTGTCTGCCTCTTGGGCCTGCAGACTGTGAGGAGAAGAATTCCGTGGGAGGGTGAGTGGGAGGTGGGTTTAGCAGTCTTGGTACCCACCTCATGTGTGTGCCTTTCCATGCTGAACACTTTCCAGAGAAGGAAGAGATCCTGTTGGATGTGACCTCTCGGCTTTGGTTCACCTACAGAAAGAACTTCCCTGCTATTGGTATGTACTCTGGGGGAGTCTAAAGGCATCCTGGAAATGATTATAATCCAGTTATCCCTAATGAAACAGTCCCCACACACATGGCATCATTTCCATTCATGAGTGTGAAATGTGCTTCATCTAACTGAGTAGACAGACTTTTTGTTTATCTGATGATGAGAATTCCTCATCTCCTTGGGTAGGAGGGATAGAAGTGGTTTTTAAAGGGACACAAGGAGGAGTTTGGGAAGTCTGCTCTTTTTTTAGGCAACATGGGAGGATTTTTATACCTCATCACATCCTACATCAGTCTAGTGTGAAATATTACTGAATGATGGTCTTGGGCTTGAAGTGGATTAAAATGATGAAGCCTAGAGAATGATAGAGAAATTGCTGCCTTTGTGCATCTGCTCCAGGCTCTACGTGGGGGTTTTGTTTGTCTAGGGGGAGTTGTGTGCCTGAAGTGTCTGTTACACACAGGAGCTGTAGTGATAGGGGAGTATTTCCCAGTGAGCTCAAAGGAGGATGTCTGGGTTCCTTAAGATACTCTGCATGGCTTCCTCTGGGGTTTGTGTGCTGGGTGCAAGGTATATCAGAGGAGATCTAAGGGCAGGTGAATGGGACTCCATGTCCCCCTTCTGTCACTGTCATCCCCAGCAGTCAGAGGGAAAGGAACATGGCTCACCTCTGGAAAAGAAACTTCTTCCTAACTGGTCCTTCTGGTTGTGCTGTTCTTTCCCTGCTGGGAAGCTCTCTGCCTCACAAGCTCTGAGACATCTTTGATGCAGTTTAATCCCTTTAAATTCATGTTTGTGCACCATAGTTAAACATATGTTCAAGAACAAAGGGTTAGCACATGTTTAACTGGCTCACAGACACAATTTTGGTTTCCTTGTGAGTCATGAGAGGCTGTGGGGTGAAGACAGACCCCATTTTCTGGGTCATTTCCCATTTACACCATAGATGTGATCTGCAAGTCATATACAGTGAACCCTTTCCAGTATTTTTTCTCCCAGTCACCCCTGTAACTGTTCATCCCTTCCCCTGTGCTAGCCCACTTAACTATTGTAAGGCTTGGGGAACTGTCTAATGCTAATTTTGTAAAGCATTATCACTTTTGGAATTTGTACCTGTTATGAATTACTGGTGAAATTATAGAAGACAGCTGGTGACCATTGAGAACCTGATTAAATAGTCCTCCAGGTGATTTTTCTCCCTGTTTAGGACCAAAAGAAGAAAGCAGCATTACAGAGACTTGCAGAAGCTGTGCCCAGGCACAGATTACCTACTCTGATCACACTGAACGTTTGATCTCTGTTATTTGTAGAAACAGCCAGAGCTGCAGTGGAGGAGCAGCAGTTTCATTTGGAAGGTCTGTCAGGGAAATGCTTTCAGCCTTGTGTCCTTTGTCTTAGACTTTCCAGGATCAGCTGATATCCAGCTTTCTCCAACAATATGTAGGATGTGTCTTTTTCACTGCTTGGATAGGTTTTTTTGGCTGGTGCCTTTGTTTTTTAGGCCTGACTATATTGTTCACTTTGAATTGTTATTTGTAGCCACTTCTGATGTGGGAATTCCTGGGACTTGTTTGTTCTGCAGGATGAGTTGCCTTCTCAAGATGAGGATTACAAGAGTAATCTTTAACAAACACCTTTGTGTGGGAATGTGTCTGAATTGGGCTGAGAGTCTGCAGACAGGCATAAGGGCTGTTGTTCTCCTGAGAAATTCAGCTCTCTCTTGAGTTGTTTGGATTTCCCTTGGATTTTTTCCCCCTTTCAGTTAGTGTTAGAGGAGTTTATTTATTTGTTTTTAAGGGATGCCACTAAGTTACTCATCGATAACCACATTTTTGGTTCTCAGCCTTGGGTGTGTGAGCTAAGCTAGTCCTCATTCCCTGCCTTGTTTCTTGGTGAGCCTGCTGCCCATTCATTCTCCTCCCTCTTGGCACTGTCTCACCATTCATTCCCTGTCTGTTTTCTGTCCTTGTTTCCAGGAGGAACCGGTCCCACCTCTGACACGGGCTGGGGCTGCATGCTGCGCTGTGGCCAGATGATCTTTGCTCAGGCCTTGGTCTGCAGGCATTTGGGAAGAGGTAAACCAGTGCACAGCCTCACTGACTTCCAGGGCCTTGTGCTCCCAGGAGTGCAGCACTTGGAAGAACAGAGATAACAAGGGAATTGCTAAGGGTTCTGTAACTTTTTTCTTCGCTCTTCTCAAGTTCAGGGCTGTTGAGAGAATAGTCTGCTTGGAACTCTCCGGGGATATTTGTATTTTGTGATTTTGTGTTTGTTTATTTGCTTTTCTATGGGTGTGGGTGATGGTATCTTATCCCAGCTGTAAGAATGTTTCCTGTTATTTTAATATTAGCCCTTTACTGTTGGGAATGCCTCAGATGCTTAGTAATAATATGACAATGTGAAAATTGAGTTGGTCAATGCACAGGAAGAGAATTGCAGCTTGCAGCCTCTGGTTGCTAATAAGTACCATGTTTATTTCTTATATCCCTTGTCTGTCCTAGACTGGAGGTGGATAAAAGGGAAGAGGCAGACGGATAATTACTTCAATGTTCTTAATGCCTTCATTGACAAAAAAGACAGCTACTACTCCATTCATCAGATAGGTAAGAAGAAAGAAATGCTCAGATGTAGCAAATGGGCTAAGGAGGGCTCTCACCTTGATACAAACTTCCCTGAAAAATCAGAGAAGCAGCCTGTTCCAATGTTTCCTGTGGGGTGAGCAGAACTCAAGTCAGAGGGGTGGTCTAGTGATCAAACACTGGGTAAAGCTTCTTCTGAGGCAACACTGCCCTTTGAGCTTCTGTGCTGCTGCACTTTAGAGAGAGGATTTCTCTGCAGTCCTTCAGGATGTCCTTCTCACCCCCATGAAACAGTAAATACTGCTGATTCAATAAAGTTTCCAAGTGAGAACCCTTCCCTATTAAATACAAACCTGATTAGGAAGGGATTCAGTGTGGGTGAAGTTATTGACTGTGTTATTCTGGTTTTTTGTTGTGCTGCAGCCCAGATGGGAGTCGGGGAGGGAAAATCCATCGGCCAGTGGTACGGCCCGAACACGGTCGCACAGGTGCTCAAGTAAGTGCTGCCCTTTCCTTTTCTCTGGTGAATCAGGCACTGGGGCTGTTGCTGCGTGGTGCCTCTGAGCTGACAGGGTTCTGCCTTTAATAACACCCTCCCTCCTTTCACATTCTCTCCTCATGTCAGTAGATGAGCAGGCAGCCCCCTGGAATAGGCTGGAGTTGCCTAACAACAGCTTTCCCAGGTCAAAGCACATTTCACAGCATAACTGATAACACCAGTCTCTCCTAATCCAGTTTCTCCTTTCTGATACACCACCATCTTTGCCTTGTAGTTGTATTAATCCTTAATTATTTATTTATTTTTAATTTTCCTCTAGAAAACTTGCAACTTTTGATACGTGGAGTTCCCTGGCAGTACACATAGCCATGGACAACACAGTGGTGATGGAAGAAATCCGTAAGTGTCACATGGAGCTAGAATGTGGTGTATCCTGGGCAGCAAGAGCCCAGAAAACTGCTGGAGAACAGCACAACCATGAAGTACATGTTCTGCCTTTGAGAAATTGTTCCCTGTGAGGGAGGGGAGGCCCTGGCACAGGTTGCCCACAGAAGCTGTGGCTGCCCCATGCCTGGAAGTGTCTGAGGCAAGGTAGGATGGGGCTTGGACCTCCCTGGGATAGTGGAAGGTGTCCCTGCCTGGATGAGCTTTAAGGTCCCTTCCAACACTGATCTGTGAAAGCTGTGTCCAGATGTGCTAAAACAAGGTGAGAATTGCTGTTCTAGGGCAAGAAAGGGCCTTGCTTGACTTTCATTTCATCTGGTGATGCCTCTGGATCTGGAGAGAAGGTTTGCTGACCTTCAGACAGCATATAGGAGCTGCTTGGTAGGCAGTGTCAGACTTGTTTATGGCCACAAGGAGCAAGCAGTAAATGGCTGTCACATAATTGGTGGGGAGGGTTCTGCTATTGGACAGAGAAAGAAAGCCAGAACAGATCTGAAGAGGAAAAGGGCCAAAATTGGCAGGGGGAGAGGATAAGAAGGGAATCCACCACTCTCATAATTTTAACGAATATTCACTGGTGGTTTCTTCTTTTTTCCTTCTTTGTTTTTTGGGGCATCCTGCCCCCACAGGCTGGCTCTGGAGTCTGAGCAGCTCTTCTTGCCCATCCTGAGCCTGCCTGCTCTGGCTGCAGCACTGCAGTAACCAAAGCTACAAAGCTGAGCACCTGCACTGCTGGTTGCTGCAGCCCTGCATGGTCCTGGCCTCAGCAGCCTTCCCATGGCTTGCTTCAGGCTAATTCCTGAGGCAGTGAGCCCACCCAGCAGTGCTCTCAAACAGCTGGTGTGGGGTTACAGGTGACATGGTGATTTAGGCTGGCTTGGCTGCCACAGGGCCAGGATCAATAGCCAGGCAACTTTTGCCTGGAGTGCAGGACAGTCACTTTGTAAAGTCACGTCTCTTGTCAGGTAGGCTCAGTAGGGTCTGACAGAGAAGTGTGTGCCTAACCTTAGCTGAAGGCATGTGCTGATGCCCTTGGCTTAAACAAAGGCCAGTTTTAAAACAGAAATTGGATTATCTTTCATCTTCAGTCTGGAGATCTCACTTCTAGAGCTGAAGCATGCTGGCTATGAGGCTCAGGTGTGCTGCAGGCTCTGTCTGTGTGGCCCTGGCTGTTCAGCACTAATGCTGCTTCAAGTGACATGTCCATACAACTTGTCATGGGCATGGGTGTGTGTGCTTGTTTTCCTCAAATGTGGATCATAATGTACCTGGTCAGGGCCTGAAAGTCACTGTGTGAATGGGTCTGATGTGTTACGTGTCTGTAGGTTTGTGTTTGGTACCTTGTGCCCCAAACATTGTGGATAAAAGTAATGTTTTTTCATGCATCTGTTAATTCTGTCACTGATAGGGTTCAGCCAGAGGTGGACAGGAAATGCCTTTTGTTACAGCACTGAAGAAACAGAAATCTTTATCCCTTCTGTCTCAGTGTTCCATGAGAAAGGGCATCTCAGCTAGACCTGAGATGGAGGAGAATCACAAAGGTGGTGAAAATCCAAGGCAGTTGAAGCCAGTACCTGCCAGCAGCAGCTGCAGCAGGAGGGGTGTTGTGTCAGATCTGTAGGAATATGTTTGCAGTAAATGGTTTGGATCCAGCTGGGAGGCTTTAGGCAGGTTCTGCTCTGCTGTGGCACCACAGAACTGCCAAGCATGCCAGATAGCAGGGTGAATTTAGCCTGTGCCAAGCTCTCTGCTGCTTAAACTGCAGGTAAATATGTTCATACACAGTGCAGGATTGCCACGTGCTTTGCCTGATGAGGAAACCTGCAGTGACACCCCATGCAGCAGCAGCCCTGGCTTGGCAGCTGATTTCAGATCATCTGGACAGGCAGGCTACTGCAATAAAAAGCCTGCTTTAACAGGAGAAATGGCTACAAATAACGACTTTGAGTTTCCTCAGAACCTCTGGTAACCATGTCTGTGCATCAAATGCACACATACACCTTACAGGGAGGAGCTGCAAACATCTGTGCAGTTTGTCTCTCCTCCTGAGGCTTTAGATCAAAGTCCTATTTCTTCTAAATTTGGGTGTAATATTGTCCTCATTCAGCTGGGTTTGAAGCTGTCAGTAGTGAACAAATACCCAGCTGAAATAGCAAATGGCTGGTGATTAAGGTGTTTGTTTACATCACATCCTACCTGCTGGAGTGTCCTGGCATTCAATTTAAGCTGGGAATAAATTAAATAAGCCTCTGGCATTCTGTCCAGCTGCCTTGGCTTCATGGTTCTTTAATCATGCTGTGGGTTTCTTTGGGGTTTGGGTTGGGTTTTTTTTTTCCCCACACACCCAGCAAGTAATTAAACTGGCCAGTGAGACAAGTAGGCTTGGAGTTGTTTCTGGACCAGAATTTACATAACCTGGATGCATTACAGCCTGGCTGTGTGTTTGTCAAGCCTTTAGGATGAGGATGCAGAGTGCTTATGTCATGTGTGTGCCCTGAGGAGTTCTGCTGCCCCATATCTTAGAGGCAGAGCTCATGGTGAAATTGCAGAGTTTAATGACCATACTGCTTTAGGTCTGTAAAGTAGCTTGTGAATTTTTCAAGAAAATTTATGAAGGTTTTTGTGACCTTTATGAAAGTTACAACTTTTCTAGACAGATGCCATGTTTGTATCTTGCTGCAGCACTTAATAGCAGGTGAATATTTCCTCGGTTAATTCATAATGCTGTCCTCACTCACTTCATTCATGAACTCCTCTGGAGCTGAACACTCCAGAACTTTCCTCTTTCTGCCTGCAAGCTTTGTCAATTCAGGACAGTTGTCTGACCTGCTAATCAACCCCTCCAGCTTTGTTGGCACAGGTGGTTGCTCGGAAGAATTTGCATTCTGGAAGAATTTGCATTTTTGCTGCCCAGCAGTTGGTAGCTGTGAGTACAAGCTGCTGTGGCTTGGTGTGAGCTCAGCACACATCACACAGCCCCAGCACTCGACCTCTTCAAGCTCCTCTTGGGTTTAAGTGTTGTAGGCTTCTGGTAAAGAGCAGTTGTTGATCAGAGGAATGACAGAAGGTCTGGGAACAGAGTCCTGATGCTTTGTGCTCCTGTTCCCTTTCCATAGGGAGGCTGTGCCAGTCCAATGTGCCATGTGCTGGAGCTGCAGCATGCCCTGCCCTGGAGTCAGATGTGCTCTACAATGGGTGCCCAGAGGATGGGCTCAGAGGGAGGCTCACCCTGTGGAAACCACTGGTGCTGCTGATACCTCTCCGCCTCGGGCTCACAGAGATCAATGAAGCCTACATTGAAACACTAAAGGTAGGGAATCTGGAGCTGAATTCCTGCTGGGGGGATGCTAAAGGATCCTGTTGTGAATTCAGTAATTGCTAAGAAGTTATTGCAGAAGAAAAATGTGTTGAGAGACAGTCCTTGTCAGAGATCAGGATATAGGTTCTTGAAAGCTGTAGTCAGGAAAACGTGAGGGCTTGAGAGGTTGGGCCTTTTCTGGTTGGGTTGGGTTTTTTGTGCTTTTGAGGATTTTACTTCACAGCTTAGATCTCAGCCTCTCTTTGTGTGCAGATGGTATCAACCTGCTGAACCTTTGTTCAGCACAGCTATACCCTGCTTGGTGGGGGCCTGAGTGTTAATTAATACAGTGTTGCACACTCCCCGTGGCTCAGATGCTGAATTTGTGCTGCACACTGAGGCTAAGAGCTGTCAGGTGGTTGCAGGTTGGAGTATTGAGAAGCTGCAGAATTTAGGGTGTACAGAAGACAGGGAGCACAATGCTAGCAAGCTCTGAGCTTGGGTAAGAGACCTCCAGATTCAGATTTGTGGGAGGTTACTTCTCTTAACTCAATAGATCATACTTGGCTGCTCCAGGTGGATAAAGAACTTAAACTGTTTCCTGAATGCTTGCTCCCTCCTGAGAGCACTGTTGCAACCTGATGACAGCTTCAGGGATCTTGGCACTGATTGCAGCAGAGCCAAGACCTGCCCATACCAAGTCCTGGAGTAGTGCAGCTTCTCTCATTTGGTCCACCTGTCTACTCCTGTCAGCAGTTAAAAGTGTTTTTGAGCTGCTTCCATGTTCCTAGAAAGCCCTGTGTTGCAGCCTGATGGAGATTTTCTCCAGAAATGGCTGGTTTTGCTGCTAGAGTTGCTGATTTTCCATGTCCCTGTCCATCTTTCCCACTGCATTTTTGGATGTTTGCCTTTGTTGCCACCTGCTGTTTCACTGTCTGTCAGCTGTGTGTTTTCTGTGTTGCTTTTCCAGCACTGCTTCATGATGCCCCAGTCCCTGGGAGTGATCGGAGGGAAGCCAAACAGTGCTCACTACTTCATTGGCTATGTAGGTGAGTGCCCAGAGGGCTGCAGAGACTGTCCAAAGCCTCTCCCTCTGCCTAAAAATTGCTTATGGGGTGGCACACACTCCTGCTTAGCCTGTGGTGCATGCTGCAGGGTTCTCCTTTCCTGCTGGAAGCATGGAAGGCTGCTGTGGGCTGAACCTCTTACCTGAGTGATGTAGATTGGAACAGTGGCCATAAACTTGCACTGCATAACATGAAATGTGGTCTGTGGAGTGCATAGAGCCTGCTCCCTGCATTCAGAGCTGACCTCCCTCTGCAGCTTGGCTGGATTTAACTGTTCTTTAGGCGTTCCTCAAACCCTTCCAACTCCTATTACTCTCTTCCTTCCCTGTGGTTTCCTCTCTGCCAGAGACCTCAGGTTATTTGTGCTTTAGATTTCTGGGGTCTATTTGAGCTCACCCAGGAAGGGATGAGCAGGAAGAATACCCACATAGTGCCTGTGCCTCAGTGCCAGGGTGTCACAGTGGAGTGGCCACCGTGGTTGTGCTGGCAGCAGTGCCTGGCTGAGAAGCATTTGGGGAAGTGGCTGAAAGCAAGATGTCCCTGGAATGTGGATTCCTCTGTGTGGTTATGAGAGCTGGCTCTGCCGTTGCTCCTCCTCCTCCTTCTATCTCAGCACTCCTCACCTTGTGGCATCCTGTTGATGTGTCCTTGCCTTGTGCCCAGGTGAGGAGCTCATTTACCTGGACCCCCACACCACGCAGCCGGCGGTGGAGCCCGGTGACAGCGGCTGCCTCCCCGACGAGAGCTTCCACTGCCAGCACCCCCCGTGCAGGATGAGCATCGCCGAGCTCGACCCCTCCATTGCCGTGGTGTGTCCTGCTCCTCCTGTGCCCCAGCACCCCAGGGGCAGGGCTGGGGTCCCCCTGTTCCACAGGGAGAGCCAGTGGTGAAGGGCTGGGTACCGTGTGGTGCTGTGTTCTGGGAAAGTGCTGCCCTGGGGTTTGGTGACACTGGTAGAGCAGCTCCTCACAGAGAGTGGCTTGTCTCAGGGAAGTCCCCCTTGTATGGCAGTTAAATACCATTCCTCATGGAGCAGTGTCAGTCTCTGGGGTTTAGTTTGGGCTTTGATTCCAGACTTTTGGTGGGCAGACCTGAATTCCATTCCTGAATCCATATGATGATGCACCATGGCTTGTTTTCTGTTGAACCTGAGATGCCTGCCCTTTGTTTCCTTTGCTCCTCCTGGTTTTCCTTCTGCAGCAAAGAAAATATTGAGGATTCCAGCACTTGGATAGCCTGGTCACATCAAGCCTTTATGGAGTGTTCAGTTTAACAGGGCAGTGTGAGGCACATTTTTAAAGCAAGGCAGTCAGGAGTAGTAACTCCTCCCAGTTCTGATCATGGTACTCAGTGTTGACACAGGGCCTTAAAACTGAGATGATCAATCTAAAATATAGAAAGATAAAGTCTTTTTCTTCCTTTTTTTTTTTCAGGGCTTTTTCTGCAACACGGAGGCAGACTTTAATGACTGGTGCCAGCAAATCAGAAAGGTTTGTGTTTATAGATCTGGTCAGACATTGGAACAGGCCCAGGGAAGTGGCGGAGTCCCCATCCTGGGAAGTGTTCAAAAGGCAGGTGGATGTGACTTGGGGACATGGTTTAGTGGTGATATTGGCAGTGATGGGGGAATGGTTGGGCTCAAAAGATCTTGGAGTTATTTTCCAGTTTCCCTCTCTCTCCCTCTCTCTGATTCTCTGTCCCTGGGAAAGGAATATCAGGTATTGTTTTGTTTCCAAACCACTGCATAGAGACCATGTTATCTGCAGCGTGACCCCATTTTAAGCACACTAAAATACTTTATTAAACTACCAAAAGGAGCATAGCTCTGAAATCCTGTTGATGATGTGATTCAAAAGCTTTGAAAAACATTTTCCCAGCTACAGAGAAGTCCCAAGAGATGATGCTTACCCCTGCAGTGCAGCAGCAGTGCAGAGCTGTGGTTCTCACGGCTGTGCTCTGTCTCCACAGCTGTCCCTGGTCAGAGGAGCGCTGCCCATGTTCGAGCTGGTGGAACGCCAGCCCTCACACTTCTCCAACCCCGACGTCCTCAATCTCACACCAGGTGAGGCCACGCAGGGAGGGAGAGCTGAGGGTGAGCCCGTCCCTCTGGCTTTCTGGAAATCATCTGGAATTACATGAGGGCTTTTAGAATGTTCCTGTTCCACCTGGAATTTAACCTGGAGTTCTTGGGTCAATTGATGTCGTTCTTCAGCTTTCAGCTAGGGGTTTGCAGATCCCACGGTGTCTCAGGATGGTTTTTAGAATAATCTGTGAATTATTCTAAAAATAATTCACTGAGCAGAAGAACAAACAAGCTAACAGGCTGTCCTGGCAGCCTGTGACTCTCTGGTTTCTGAAGGGATGCTTGGAGCAATCAAAAGTGTCCAGTGAAAATGCTGAAAATGAGTTTGTAGGTAATGAAAATGCTCCAAGACAGGGCTGGTCACACTTAGTTCCAGCATAAGGCACTCCTTCTTGGCATGTACCATTACCAGTGGGAAAAAGGACAAGTGCTGGGCCCTAACCTTGCCTGTCAGACTTTGCTTATCACATTAATGACATGAGCAAACATTGCAGGAGATAAAGCCATTGGCTGCTTCTGCCAAGAGCAGTCAGTGTGTGTGGGCAAGCCTATCCTGTCTCCAGGCATGGGGAGGCCTCCTGGCAACCTGCACCCTGCACTTCTGCTCTCTCTCTCTCCCTGCCCTCCCTCCTTAAAAGCTTTCATTATCACACTTTCTTTGCTGTTAAGCATGCTCAGTTCCCTTAAACTGTCAATTGATCCTTGCCTGTCTTAAATTGTCCCTAATGTTTTTCCTACTCCTAAAAATGTTTTTGTAATGGACTACTTGTCCTTCTCCCTCTTCCCTGGCTTGTAGAGCTTCTCCCATGTGTCAAGGGCATTCATTTCTGTTAGTCCTGTTTCTCACTAGAAGGAGTAATTGAACTTTGAGCCCCTTTCAGGGCCTAAAGGGGTTCCAAGAAAGCTCAAGAGGGCACACAGTGATAGGACAAGTGGGAATGGCTTCCCACTGCCAGAGGGGGCAGGGTTAGATGGGATATTGGGAAGGAATTCCTCCCTGTGAGGGAGGTGAGGCCCTGGCACAGGTTGCTCACAGAAGCTGTGGCTGCCCCATCCATGGAAGTGTCCAAGGTCAGGTTGAACAGGGCTGGGACTTCCCTGGGATAGTGGAAGGTATTCCTGCCCATGGCAGGGGGGCAGGACTGGATGATCTTTAAGGTCCCCTCCAACCCAAACCATTCTGGGATTCTGTAGCTGTCCAGCCTGAACTAATAAAGGTTTCTCCTTCCCCCCTGTGCTAAAGTGCTTCCTTCCCCTTTAAGTGTGAGCTCCTTCTTCACCATGTAGATGGAAGGGTAGAGAGGTGGGATCAACTAACATTACTTTTCCTCACAAAGTGAGCTGTGCTAATTGCTTTTAGGAGAGTGCATGTTGTAATTACATTCCCTAATAGTTGCATCAAAAACAACTATAGTAGAAATTATTCCCTAATACATAAGGGTAAATGTATCTCTTAATTGGGTCAGAAATCTTCATGGGTATTAGTCCAGACCTGAGCAAGTTCTCCTGTTCTGAGCCTCTTGAGGCAGAACAGTCTCCTGCTAATGCAGAGCTGGGGCACAGGAAGGTTGTACAAAACAGTGGCAGCAGAAATGTGTTTGGATCTGTGAAAGATGACGTGCTTCTGTGCTCCATGTAATTCTCTCCAGGGCATTTTCCATACCACTGACATGTTCTTAGCCTCCTCGGAGCCCTCACTCAGGTTTGTCACTGAGTTTTGGAACTTGTAGGCACTTGGCACTCCAGTTGTGATGCCCTCCAGCTGCTGCTCTCACCGACAGTCACGGCATCCCACTGAGGCAGCGCTTTCTTCTTCTTCTCTTCCAGACTCCTCTGATGCCGACAGATTGGAAAGGTTCTTTGACTCAGAAGATGAAGACTTTGAAATCCTGTCCCTTTGAAAACAAATAGGAAACTGACTCTGCAAATTTGTGTATGTGTGGGGAGAAGGGGGGAGGGAAGCTCCTTCGAGAGCCTGGGGCTACCGGTTTTCATAGGCGCTTGCTGCCATCCCTGCCTCCCGTCCATCCTGGCATTCCGTGCAGCCTCGGAGCGGAGCGCGCAGTGTCTGCAGTGGGATGAAGAACCCAGAGGGTGTTACAGCCTTACTGGCTGCAGTTGGAATTGCTCAGCAGCTAACAGCTGCTGGGAGATGGATGCAGTGGTGCTTAGGAGTTCAAAGCCTATCTTACATCAGCAGGTCAGCTGGGCCTTCCGGGGGAGGCACGGAAATCGTTAGAGCGCTGAATCCTTCCATGGGGACTCCCCTCTGAAGCTTAAGTAGAGCCCACCCGTCATTTAGCAGGAGAAAGGTCCAGTTAATGCCTTTAGCAGCTTTCCTTCTCACTGGCCAACCTGGACTGCAGCTCACAATGCCAGGGAACAGCAGCCATGTCCCACAGACAGCTGTGAAGCCTCCGGAGTGCAGGTCCCTACGGTACAACTCCTGTTCATGCTCTGCAGGACACTCAGCACTACCTCTCCTGTCCACAACCTATAGAAAGGAATTGAGGGAATTTCTAAGTGACTGGGAATTCAATGAGTGAAGTGTTGGAGCAGTGCTATGCTGCTGGGGAGCATCTCAATCCCAGTTTAAATAACAGAAGGAATGGAAGAGTAGAACATGTGTGTGTTGCTCAGTGAGTCAATCCATGTGCTTCTACAATGGAGTAGTCTCTACTGCAAGTACCTTCAGGAAAGCTGCTTTGAACAGAAAACTGAATTCCACAGCCCTGGAAAAAAAGAGTCCAGAGCTGGGAGAGCTGAAACAAGACAGCAGAGATCTGCCAGGCATGTTCCAGGCTTCTGCCTGTCCACCAATGTGCTGGCATGATGACTAGGGAGCGATGTCCTGCCAAAAACCCAAATTGTAAAACCCATTGAGGTGCCCTGGGTGGGTTGGTCAGCTCTTCCTCCAGCTACTCCTGTCAGACATTCCCTTTCTAAAGCAGAAGAGGTGCCTGAAGGTCGAGTAGGTTTCTGAGCTGTGTCAGTACCTTGCCTCTGCCAGCTCCCCTCCCTGCAGAGTGCAGCCAGAGGTGCTGTAGGAGCTAACCTGGAGAAACCCCTGTCAGGTGACCATCCCAAGAAGGGCAGTGTGCCTTGAGAAGGTCCAAATATACTGGAAATTTTAGCTACTTGCAGTTGGCAGCTCTGCCTGGGGCCCTTCTCCACAGAGAGAAGGGTAAACCGTGGAGGGGAGCTGTCTCCATGCACACTGCTAGGGAAGTGCTGCCATGGTTTCCTTGGTGTGTGCTGCACACTTCAACCCTGTTTACAAGGCTTTGGTTTGTGCATTCAGGTTTGGAACCTGTCAGATGATGGTGGTGTGCCCAAGGGTGGTGCCACCAGGCTAGAATTGACCTGTTTCCCCTGTGACTGACCTACAGATGCTCTAACTGTCCCTGTGATACCCGAAAGCAGAGGTTTGAATTGGGAACCACAATGCTTCTGTCACTAAATTATTATTTGCTGCTTTCTGCCTGCTTCTCCTCTTCTCTCTTGTAGTCAGGGGAAGAGGCAGCAGAGGAAGTGGGGCTGTGCTCCATTCATCTGCTTTCAATTTCTATCTGAATAAACAGATGTAAAATCTTTGCCTGTCCTGATGTCCTTGCACACGATGAAGGCAGTGGTGGGTAGTATGCAGTACACCAGGAGAGCCCAGTGTGTACAGGGCTCCAGGGGAGCTGGAGAAGGACTTTGGACAAGGGCCTGGAGGGACAGGACAAGGGGGAATGGCTTCCCACTGCCAGAGGGCAGGGTTAGATGGGATATTGGGAAGGAATTGTTCCCTGTGAGGGTGGGGAGGCCCTGGCACAGGGTGCCCAGAGCAGCTGTGGCTGCCCCATCCCTGAGGTGTCCAAGGCCAGCTTGGACAGGGCTTGGACCTCCCTGGGATAGTGGAAGGTGTCCCTGACATGGAAAAAGGTGACCCTTAAGATCCCTTTCTAGCCCAAATCAGTCTGTGATTCTACTGTTTATTTCACATTCATGGTTGTATGTTTAAGGACAGCTCTGCCAGACAAGATTTTACCCGAGTGTTAACACAACCCCAATAGCAGAGCTAAGCTCAGCTCTCTTAGATCTTTAACAGGCATTTCTGGCTTTTCAGCATTTCCTTGTCCCAGTTTTACTGTCAGGGCCTGATGCAGCATTGCAGGGGCTCACCTCCTTCACCAGGAGTGTCTGGCTGCCAAGGGCTGGGCAGCTGTGGAGGGAAGCTTTTGCCACTGTAGCTGATGTTTGTATTACCAATGTTTTAAATATTTAGCTTCCTCTCCCTGCTCCTGAATCAGTTCACTCTGCCTGTCTCTGAGTTAGAGAGGAGTTAGTCTGTGGAGATCAGAGCAGTCCCCCCTACTGGAAGGTGAGTCAAACAGCCAGCAGAGACCTGAACTCCCCTGGCCATGTCCATCTCTCAGTGTCCCTTGGAAATGATTAACATTCCAGTTTGTTCTGCTGATTTAGGTGGTTTGTAGCTGCTCTGCTTTCACACTGCACTGGGGTGTGTGCAGGAGCCCCAGGTTCCTCTCATCTTGGCCAGTCTAAAACGATTTATGTGCCACTTGTCCTCCAAACTGGCCTTGCTATGAGCTCATCCATCTATTTCAGGTTCTTACCTGCTCACAGCTGGGGAGAAGGCTTGAATTCACCTCTCCCTTTTTTTCCACAGCTCTAGCAAACAGTTTTCCTTGGATTTAGTGGCTGAGCTGCAGCACTGTCACCTCCCGTATATCCGTTCTAGAAGATAAATGATCATACTGGAAAAAAAATGCCCTGTGCCAAATGCTTAAAAGAGTAATTTATTAGCAAATCCTCTACAAACTGGTTTTAGCATGGGGGGGGATGCACTTTCTAGAGAGGATGAATGATCAGAAACGTGGCAATTCCCTAAAAATGGGAACTGTCGTGTCCAGGGATGGCCCTGCACTCCAGGAGTGGAGCTGGAACAGGAGCTTGGGAGAGGGGGGTTTTGACAAGGAATTTGATACCCACTCATGGCATACTCATTTAAAAAATGCAGAAGGGACTCTGCAGGCTGGAAGGGAGGAGCAGATAATGATAAGGACATCAGCAGCATGTTGGACCCAAAAGAATACACAGGATCTAAGCTGTAGCTGCTGGGGTGTCACAGTCATCCAAGTGCAGAAGATCCAAGAAGTGACCGTTGCATTTTGACCTTACTCTTTTTAACCTGTATGAAGTTTCATTTCCAGAGTTCTCCCAAGGGTTTATTCTGAACATCCAGCATAGTTTCCTTTGCAATGGACTTGATTTCTCTGTGCAAGTCTTCAATGCTCTTTGAAGCATCCACTGTCTGTTTCCAAGACAACAAAAATACAGGACAGTTAACAGAGAATACAGAAATGAGAAAAACCTTGTTGTCAACATCTGTTTACCCCCCATTACTCAGTGTTATTCTTCCTGAGTAGTGAAATGAGCTAATTACACCTCCTCTCGGCAGTTTCTGGAGTGGATTTTGGAGAAATCAGTGTAGGAATAGGCATTTAAGAAGTAGATGTGAGGGTGGGTGAAGGGAAACAGAAAGAACTGCTGCTGCATGTTGTTTGCTGGCAGTCTCTGGGGTGTGTGACAGAGGCAGGTAAGCTAGGGATTCATCCCAGCTGCACCAAGAGCTGACCAGGGTCTCCTGGAACAGGGAAGTGCCCTCTCTGCCACATCTCACAGTGCCCTTGGCTGGTCCCCAGCGTGTCCCACTGAGCAGAAGTGGGAAGGGGCAGCACAGGAATGTGACAGGCAAAATTTGGGAGCTCTCACTAGAGACCCCCACCCCAGTCCATGACAAACCCATTAGAGTTAATTCCTCACCTTCCAGTTTAGGGACTTGTCCTCCATGAGGCAATAGAAGGACTGAAGAACTTTCTCTTGGAAGGAGCTGGTCTCATAACGTTCCTGTCCAAAGTTGCCTCGTTCTGCTGCTGCTTCTGGGTTTAACTGGAGGAACAGGATCAGGTCTGGCTTTGGGAGTCCAACATCAGGCTGTTTGCACCAGTCCAGGCCAAAGTTCTGCCCCAAGCAAAGACAAGAGGGTTTGAGGTGAGACACACACAAAGACAGGAAAGCAGCAGGTTGGCTGGAGAGTGAGGTGGAAAAGGAAGAGCCAAGGATGGCAGGAATTGCAACCCAAAGCACTCAGCACAGGCCATGAACTGAACAGGTGACAGCCCAGCTTACCATGTGGGAATTCAGTCCTTCTCATTTGGGAGTGAGTAGGTTTTGTCAGGTGTTCAGCACCTCCTGTGCCTATTTAAGTTGGAGAGTGACAGTTTTTCATGCCTCTTCTGTAGATCCCATCTGAGCTCTACCAAGGCACGTTCTGAGCCTCCACACAGCCATCACCACTCCAAAACTTGCTCAGTCCAACAGAAAGCTGCTCCCAAACACAAACAGCACACAGCTGCAATGCAGATCTCTCTGAGCCCACAGAGGCTCCTTCCCAATACTCACCTTTCCTGGAATTTCAGCCCACACACAACAGATGCAGTTTTCCATCTTTTGGATTTTGCTGACTTGTCTCACTACTTTCACCAGGGCATGTGAATCCTTGATGTTGGTGAGACTACAGAGTCCACTTACTGCTCATCCACATCTTACATCCCTCTAAGAGGAGCTGGCACAACTGCCCTCCAGTTTCTCCCCAGATTCTGTATCCTGGTAGTCTGGGTATTTTTGGGATGTATGTGCAGTGGGTTTTTCAATCCCACGAGGGGGTAAGAGAAGCTGAAAGTGCCACAACATCTTGGGAGTGAGATCTGGCAGCCAGCAGACTTTTGTGTTAGGTACGGACATCAACTCCTGGAATGCTTCTTGAGTGAAAAACATGCCAAACTCCATCCTTTTAATAAGCAGAGGAGGCCCATTCCAGCAGCAAAAGATGCCATCCCTGCTTCCCAAGGGTGGCATCCACATGGCTGAGCCCTGCAGTCACCAGCTACATTCAAACAAATGCAGACACTTTAAGACACCCTTTTACCCTCACCAGAAAGTAGCAGAACATTCCTTGCTGTGCCCATGTGGATTTGGGGTCATTATTTTGGGGTGACTCAGCTCATGTTACACATCCTGGCTCTTAATGTGGGGCTTTTGCAGACACCTGGTTAGCACCTCAATGCTTTGATGCATCTGTCTCAAGCCACACAGTGTCCAGGAAAGCATGAGGATGGGAGAAGATGCAGGTGGGAGTGCAGGGCTTGGGGCCCAGGATCTCCTCAGTCTTTGCAGGAAGCAGGAAAGGCTTGGGCAGGAATGAATGCAGGTCACAGCTGGTGCTGCAGGCATGGCTGGAGCTTCTGTGACCACTCTTAGAGGATTGATGGCTGCTCAGCAGGAACAGGACACTTCTGATGGAGTGGGACAAGAGTGTCTGTGCAGAATGGCTCCAAGGGAGGCTGACAGAGCTGACTTGTTCTGAAAGCCAAAAGGCACAAGTGGGAATGCCAGCAATTCAGGCTAAATGAAGAAAATCACTTTTACTCTGAAGGTGAGCAGAGAAGAACCCAGAAAGGAATGGATATACATCCCTGAAGATACTCAGACCTTGGCTGGATGTAGGCCCAAGCAGCCTGCTTATGTCAGCCCTGCTGGAGGCTGAATTCCACAGGTCTTTTCTAATGTATGTGGTTCTGTTCCACAAATTGATGGGCCAGCAGCCTGAGCAAGTACAGAGAGTCTTCCATAAACTCCCAGAATCATTCTCCAGAGTCACACAGGTCAGCTTCCAGCCCAGCAGTCTGTCCAGACTTACAAAAAGTCACCAAATAAGTTTCTCTGCTTGTTCTGGGGAAGGGTGGACCCACGTTAACATCTGAGCTGAAACCTCCATCCCTCATCTCCCAGAGGAATGGCCCCTGGGCCATTCACACCAACAGCCTGGGGCTGACTCCCCAAGCAGAGAGGGGGGCAGGGGCTGCTGCAGGTGTCACTCACCCCTTTGGCACTTGTGAAGGCCACTCCAGAGAAGGCGTATCTGTCAACCACCACCGTGATCCCCTGCTGCAGCTTCTCCTTCATCATCGGTCTGAAACCATGGGGAGATAAAATAACAAAGCTGCACTCCTTTATGGTGACAGCAATGAAAGGATCTCATCTAAAACTCCAAGACTGGCTCCATCACTAAGGGAGGTAGCTGTGATGCAGGTGGCAGGTGAAGAGCTGTTTGTATTCTCCACCAGGCACTGACCAAATACCCTTTGATGGCACCCAAACTCAGGGTGCCAGCACTGGGCACTGCTCTAGGCAGCTCCAGGGATCACAAGCAAGCTCAAAGATGAACTATATTAACATGGACAGCTCAGTCCTCTTCCCTTTCTAGGTGGTACAGCAGGTTTTGTGATATACTCTGCCACCTTTATTCATGACACTTCTTCTTAGAGCTCACTTCTGTGAGATTGAGAGAGTCTGTGAGACTTCTGTGCTTTCTGTTCTCCCAGCTTAACTGGCACTGCCACCACAGCAGAGCCAGCAAAGCTTTTCTGTAAAATGAGAACATTTTGGAATCTGTGTTTCCAGGTAAAAACAGCAGCCAACACTGATTTCCCCATGTTCACACACAGGCTCTGTGACTGAAGGACAGGCAGTTATGGCTGAACGTAGCCTTTGGCTGCAGGGGAAATCTGGGCACAATTCCTTAAGCACTGTCAGGGACTGCCTGCAAAGCAAGGTGTAAGTTCACAGTCTGAACTGGTTCAGTCTCACCTGCCCAATTTTTTAATCCAATGCAGCACGGGAGGTGGAAATATGGCACCAATGATTAAAAAAAACCCCAAATCTGATCGAAGATTACAAGGGCAGGGTTAGATGGGCTATTGGGAAGAAATTCTTCCCTGTGAGGGTGGTGAGGCTGTGGACAGGGTGCCCAGGGAAGCTGTGGCTGCCCCTGGATCCCTGGAAGTGCCCAAGGCCAGGTTGGATGGGGCTTGGAGCAGCCTGGGACAGTGGAAGGTGTCCCTGCCATGGCAGGGGGTGGAACTGGCTGGGCTGTAAGGTCCCTCCCAACCCACACCAATCTGTGATTAAATCCAAAGCTGTAAGAGTCCTTCAGACACCATTTCCAGCCTGTTCTCCTGTCTGAACCAGATCACATTCTTGAACTTTCTGTGCCCACTGCAAGCTCAAACCCCGTGGGCTCCAACACCACCCGTTTTTCTTTCACAACCGAGCAAACATCATCTTTACACGTGCTCCCAGCGGTTGGCAGAGAAGAGCAGGTGGATGGTGTGGTCCTCCAGGTTCTTCTCCCTCCCCAGGTAGGAGCTGATCAGCTGCCCAATCTCTGTCGTTCTGTCTGCAGGAAAGACAGGAGATGCAAAGGCTGCCCCAGAGTGCTCTTCCCAGAGGGGTGTCCATCTGTCTGGGGGGGGTCTGTCTGTCACAAGTGGGAGGTGGTCTGAGCAGGGCAGGGTCTGTCTGTCCGTCAGGGGTGGCAGGAGGTCTGTCCCGGGTGAGGGGGATGTTTATTTGTCACAGGTGGGAGAAGGTCAGTCCATAAGGGGCTGGATCCACCAGACTGTGACAGGCTGGGGAGAGGAGCTCGGTCCGTCCAGGATGAGTCTGTCTGTCTGTCCGGGATGGGAGGGGTTTATCGCTCAGGCCTGGGGCGGTCCCTCCGTTCAAACGCAGAGCCCGCCCACAGCTCGGGCGCGCCGGCCGTCCCCCGCCCGCTTCCTCCCTCCGCCGCGCCGCGCCGCGCCGCGCCGTACCGGGGAAGCGGAGGAGGTCGGCGCGGTGCCCGGCCTCCCTGAGGGCCTCCACGAGCCGCCGGCCCTGCGTGCTCTTGCCGGCGCGGTCCACGCCCTCCAGCGCGATCAGCGCCCCGCGCCGCGCCGCCATGCCGGCCCCGCCCCGCCCCTTCCGCCGCGCCCGCCAATCGCCGCGCGCCCCGCCCCTCATGAATATGCAGCGCCCCCGCCGGCGGCGGCCAATGGGAGGCGCGCGGGCCGTGAATACGGGATGAGGCCGCGGGCCTTGTCATGCGGGCCCGGCGGGCGGCGGGGAGCGGCGCGCGGGCCGCAAGATGGCGACTGCCATGTACCTGGAGCACTACCTGGACAGTGAGCGCGGGGCGGGGGCGGCGGAAGGGCCGGGACGGAACGGGCCGGGGCACGGGCCGGGGGCGGCGGGATTGGGGCGGGGGCGGCGGCGGCGCGGGAATTAAAACTGCGCCACGGGCAGCGCGGGGGAGTGGGGGGGTGGTGGCGCTGCTTGCGTCATCAGCCGGCGCCGGGCTACGTCAGCGATGCGCGCTGGGGAGTGGGGGCGTGAGGCCATGGCGGCTGTGGGGGTCAGCGGGGCGGGGGTCCCGCTGCTGTCCCCTCCGTCCGCTCGGGGGTCCCGCTGCTGTCCCCTGCCTCCGCTCGGGGTCCCGCTGCCCCTGGCTGGGCCGTGGTGCCGGCCCAGCTCCCAGCAGCCAGGCAGGTGCTCACGCTCCGCTGAGGTGAGCGGGCGCTCACGGTGCGTGGCTCGCAGGATGGGTTCGGTTTGGTTTGGTTTGGTTGGGAAGGACCTTGGAGCTCATGTCGTTCCAGCCCCTGCCACGGGCAGGGACACCTGCCATTGACATGGTTCTTCAGAGCATTTAGTAGCGTTTTTATTGTAGGTATTGAGAATCTGCCATGCGAGCTGCAGAGGAACTTCCAGCTGATGCGGGAGCTGGATCAGAGAACAGAAGGTGCGTGCAGCGTTTCGGCGAGCAGAGGCAGGGAGAGCCCGGCCTGAAGGACGGGCTTTAGAGGCCGCTGGAGGCCGGGCTTTAGAGGCCGTGGCTGTTCCTTCCCTCGGGCTGAGTGCTCTGCGGTGTTTGCTGCTTTCCTGGGAGGGTACAGCTTGCATGGCAGGGCTTGATTTGGTTTCCCGTTTAAATTCATAGCTCTGTGGTCGCTCCACTCAGTGGCCACTTGGATGGCCTTCCTTCCATGTGTTTCTGTATCTAACCAGTTCTAGATTCCTGTGTGCCTTGCAGGATGATTTTTTTCTTTCTTTTTGAAGCTTTTGTTGGTATCTGTCTGCACGTTAATTATTTTAATTTTGGACCATAAGAGCTGTAAGAGACTGTGCAACAATTAAAATGTTCTGTGTGTGGGAAGAGAGGCTGAAACTTGTGAACCCATGGGTTCAGTTCCTGATCTTAACTGTGAATTAACTGTAAATTAACTTCTGAAATTAGCTGTAGAACACTAGAGAAAGCAGAATCACACCACAAGTGCCAAAGAGTGAACACCTTTAACTTAACTGGGTTTGTTTTCAGAAGGAAAATGCACTGAGGAATTGAGGGGAGTGTAACAGCTGTCAGGAAGGGTGTCCTGAATGGAAATAGAAAACCAAAAATACCTGCTTTTTTTTCTTTTTTTCCAGACAAGAAAGCAGAGATTGACAGCCTGGCAGCAGCATACATTGAGTCTGTGAAGAACATGGTACCTGAGGAGAGGGTGGAGCACCTGAGGAAGATCCAGAGTGCCTACAGCAAGTGTAAGGAGTACAGTGATGACAAAGTGCAGCTGGCCATGCAGACCTATGAGATGGTGAGCCATGGAAAAACGGGCATCCTCTGGAATGCTGCATGTGGAGGTGCTTCACAGTGTCAGCATCCCCTCACTTTTTCTTCTTTTTGACTTTAATTTCTCACAAAAAACAAACTTAGTCCTTAAGCTTATGTTTCTCTCTGTTGCCATCCCCAAAAAGCTTTCTCCTTTGGCACCAAGTTTCTCTTTTGCTGAAGATTTAGTGAGTTTACCCCCCTTGGAGGTGGCTTTATCAGCAGTTCTTGTCTGCTGTGTGATAATGCCAGCAAATTTACCCACTCCCCCCTCCCCAGCAGCTCTCTGTCACTGATAATTTATATGGGGCACACTTAGTTGAAAGCAATTTGGTTTCTTTAAGCCAGCTGCTGTGGTGTGTTGTAGAGGAACAGCAGGAATGCTGCTCAGCTGCCTTGGTTTATTGGACATAAAAATTTCTTCAGTGGACTTTGGGAGAAAATCCCATTTCTTAAGATGCAGCTTTCCACTTTTTTTTTTTTTTTTCCCTTCTGTCCCTTGGATAATTCTTCTCTCCACTTGTTTTATCTCCTGGATAGAAGTTGAGTGAGGGGAATCCCTTTGACTGTGCTGAGTGTTTGTTGTCCAGCTTGCAGAGATGCTTGGGCTTTTGCACAGCTGCAGTAGGTGTTTGGCTGCCATCAAATACTGCAAAAAAGGAAGTGATGTCCCAGGAATATCAATGCCCTGGATAACTAGTGAACTCATTTAATGGCAGACTACTGCAGCAGCACAGTTTGGGGCTGTTGAAATCCCCGTTCTGAAAGTCACTTTCTTGCAGCCAGGGTAGTACCAGGTCCTTAATTAATGTGTGTTGACTTGATGTTGAGGATAGCCAGCCTCTGTCTGTGCTTATTGTGAAACTTCTTGGATTCACATGACAGTGGAGGACCAGGGAAAACTCTGTGTGCTCTGCTCGACACATTTCAAGGAATTTTGAAAATCACAGGGACAAGCACATTATTTTTAGCATCTCTCATCTTGTTTTGTTCTGGAAATCATTACTCTGAGTTGCTTTGACCCTCTGTTGCCTCTCTTCCCCTTCTTTCTGCTCCTGGAGGGGTTGGATCCTTGTGCTTCACCTCCTCATCCCCTCTGTGTGCGCCGTTTCCCTTTCCCCAGCCCGTACCCCTTCCGTGCCTCGCTCTGCACCACCACACTGCTCATGCTGATAACAGCCAAGTTTAGCCCTTCCTGTTTTCAGCTGGGGCTCTTTTTTGGCTGTTTCTTTGTAGTTCAGTTTGTGGTTTCCTCTTGGGGCAGGTGGATAAGCACATCCGCCGGCTGGACGCGGACCTGGCGCGCTTTGAAGCCGATCTCAAAGACAAACTGGAAGGCAGCGACTTTGAAACCCCTGCATCCAGAAGCCTGAAAAGTGGGTGAATTTTACACAATTGGGAGCTTTTTCCAGCACTTAGAGTATCAAAGCAGGAAGGCTGAGATGTAAAATAGGCTGTTGTTTCTGGAGGAAGGAAAGAAATATGTCGTTCTGTTTGTTTTTAATGCTCTTACAGTGGGCAGGAGATGAAGAGAAGTGTGGTGCTGGGATCAAACTTACTGTCACTGTTTGATCCTGAGGTTGTTACTGGTTCTAAGGAGGGTGCTGTACCAAAACTGCACTGCTGTAACAGTCTTAGTTTTGGGAGAAAGTGGGAATCAAAAGAAAATGCCAGTTTCTGTTACGTATCCTGAAATACTGTGTGAGTACAGTTACATTTGAATGTGGATACAGCAGCACAGCAGAGCTTTATGCCTTTGAACAATGAAATAAGGGGTAGGAGCAAGGAGGTGGAGCTAAAGTTATGTTAGTTATTGAGTAATCTATTAACTGTGTTCAAAAATACACTGAGATGGAAAAAAAAACTTCATGTCTAATCAAGCGTGATGCTGTTTATGACCTGTGCTGACATACTGCAGTGCTTTATTGCCAAAGCTGCAAACACAAGAGTTTGGTGCTCAGTGGTTACTGATTTGGTGTATTTGTGGCTTAAAAATGCATGTCAGTCAGCATATTCAATTACATATCTAATAAGGATTACTCAATTACATATGCAATAGGGATTTCAAGCCAGTAACTGCATCAAAGGAACAGCTGGGGATGTTTCTGCCACTCAGATGTGCTGAAGTGAGGGGGTTGTTCTTCCTTTCTAGAGGGACGAAGTCAGAAAGACAAAAGAAGCTCTCGTGGTCGAGGCAGGAGAACATCTGAAGAAGATACACCAAAGAAAAAGAAGCTCAAAGGAGGGTAAGGCAGAGCCAGGCACAACTTCAGGGCCTTGGGCTTGACACTTCATGAATTTTCCACAGGCTCATATTACCCTATTTATGACTCATGTCCAGATGGTGAGCACTGTTAAGAGTGTTCTGGTCTTACTCCATTTCATTAATGTCTTGCTTAGGACAGGCCAGCATTGTTAATTAACTCCTTGGTTGGCATGTGGAAGCTCAGCATGCTTGGAACACTCTGACTGGAAGGACAAGATCAGCCTCCCTGTTGCTGTTGGCAGGCTGGGAGAAAATAGCTTTGATTTTTGTCACAGAGCTATTTTTAATAGTTGCTTGTGGTCTTGATGGTAAAAGAAATTCACTTGGCCACAGAAACTGATGTTATGCTGCTGTTCTAGAAATCTTGGAGAATTTTGGGGGGTTGTTTTCAAAGGATTGTCTCCTAGGTAGCATTGAATAACCTGATTTGGTTTTGAGAGGCGAGGAGGAAAGCATGTCCCCTCTCTGAGATGGGATTTATATTAAAGGGGCCCATTTTATTATGATATTTTCAGGTGGCAGGAAACTAAAAGTAGTTTCTATGGACTACTACTGGCATGTCAGCACATCCCTGTCAGGGTAAGAGGCTTCACTCATGCCTGACAATGAGAAAAAACCTATATTGAAGCAGGTTGGGGAAAAACCCCAAACAGGTTATTCTACCCACAACCAGGAGTGATCTGTATGATAGTTTGTTACTTTACTCATGACAGCTGCAAATCCCTCTCTTAATTCTTTCCAGTCATACTGTGTTTGATCCAACCTACCTTATGATTTTAATTACTGGGCTGTGGTAATGTAATACAAACTCTAACACAGGCTCAGTGTGGTTTAGGGAAGATACTGTAAAGCACTAATTTTCCCAAGTAGGATTTACATCCTGGAAACACCAAATCCCAGAGTGGTATGGGTTTGTAGGGGCCTTAAAGACCATCCCATTCCAGCCCCTGCAGTGGACAAGGACACCTTCCACTAGCCTGGGTTGTTCCAAGCCTGGCCAGGAATACTTCAGGAATGGAGGAGGCACAGCTTTTCCAGGCAACCTGTGCCAGG